TATGACTTGAAACGACGGGGAGTAACTTATAAAGTAGGGGATGAAGTATTAAAAATTAAGCATTCACTTTCTTCAGCACCAGAAGATAAAACTGCCAAATTTTTTCCACGATTTGAAGGACCATATGTCATAGAAAAAATAACTCACGCTGTAGTAGTGTTAAAAGCCAGAAATGGTGAAACCTGCTCCGCAAACATTGATCAAATCAAACCCTACTATGATCGTAATAAAATGCAAATATTTTCAGATCTTTTGCAGGATCCGGCACGGCAGACACCGCAGGCACAAGCTCCAGAGGTGGAAAAACGACAAGTACAAGGGCAAGCCATTAAGAGGCAGGAGCAAGTGAAAAGAAAGTTTCCCCCCGCGGGAAAAATTGAAGGTAACAAGAAAAAGAAGCCGTTCCACCACCGTCCAGAAAAGAGAGCTCACGAACACCCCCAGAATGAAGAAGGGAGAAGGACGACGTATGCAAAGAGAGCCAGGAGAAATGACGGCAACTATAACCCGGCTCTAAAACGGAAGATCTACTCATCCGACAGGACTCTCCTCCGCAGCAAATGTCGCCGAACTGCGGAAGGGCCATCAGCGGCGGAGGAAAAGTTACAAGGAAAATTTGAACGGCCAGCAACGAGGTCCAAGCAGGAACACGAAAGAAGTTTCCCGGTTCCGCCAAGACCAGCTGCCATCAAACGGCCAAGACCACAGGCAGAGGCGAAAAAGAAGGTATTCAAGGGTGACCGAACTGGAAAAAAAAAAAGAAGCTTCTAGAGGAAGGCACTGAAGGGCGAGCCCGCACAAGAAGGAGGATAAATCAAACACAATCTAGCTACTTTTTCCAGGACTGGGCTCAGAAAAGAATGTCCGAATATCACAAAGATAAGTAAAATTTTATGTTACTTTGCAAACTTAAGTTAATCTTTCATTCTTACTGCAAGTGGCAGATTTCAAGAAGTTTTACCTCATGCGAGGTCTACCTTTATCGCCAAAAGGGCGAGAAATGAGTTGTTACCGATTTTGGTATTATGTTTTTCAATTACTCGCGCGTAAAAATTAACGTAAAACTAAAGTTGATGTATAATAGCGATTGTGTAAAGACTTAAATATTGTAAAAGTTATTGTATAAATTTTATTTAAAACATTCTGGCAAGAAAGAAGTTTTAGTCTGAAAGACTTTTTGAAATGTAGTATTTCAATGTAGAAAGAATTGGCACTTGCTTTGAAAAGAATAGAAGTTAACAATGTACTACTAATGTATGTTTTCAAATGCGTAAAATAAAATAACGGCATGTTAATATGTTCTTATATACAATGTGAACTGTTATTTTAAATGTTAAGAAATACCGTGATATGGTAAAAGTGAAAGTAATGTTAAAAATTTTTTTTATTCGTGTGACTGTAAAAAGACTAAATCATGGTGAATATGTGTTAAAGGTTGAATGATGTAGTTAGGCTCTCTGACGCTACACTTCAGAGTTAGCCACTTTCAGAATAGTACCTCAGGGTTTAGAGTTGAAATTAGGGTGTGTTACGAGGTCTTGGTATGTTGAATTTTAACACGTTAGTGTTTTGATTGTAGGAGGAAGTGTTGAACACGTAGACAGAAACACATTCGTGTTTGGTGTTCTTTTACAACACATGTCAGAGAGCACGGGGAGAGATAATTAAAATAGTCATGAATGAAATAAGAATGTTAAGAGAAATATAATATACATGTTACTTACTTGCCATTTCATTGTGTAACATTTCATTAAACTAGTTTTCCTTCCAGATCTCTGGAAGGAACCAGATTTGAATAAAAGCTCCTGTTTAGATGCAGTACAGATGAAAAAAAAAATTGTTGTATCCTGGGAGCTGCTATTGTAAAAACAAATTTCTTTCTTTTAAAAATTTCTAGTTTCTAGCGAAAAATGTTTGTAAAAGATTGGCCTCGCGTTAGATTCTAGAGCTAAAAGTTTTCAACAAGGTCGTTTTAGACCTCAGTTTCAAACTAATTAACTCTGGCGGGAAGTATGTAAGGATCTTAAGTTTTACTAACGTTTATTTTATTTTAAATCTTTACTATCACTTCTTATTTTCTACTTCCGGCCAGAATTATAAGCGTTAAGTTTTATGCAAAGTTTGTCTGGCGAACGCCAAGTATTTAAGTTGTGGCTTTTTGCCAAGCGAGAGAGAGGAAGCAGTTAGTCGAAGCAGGCCGCTTACCTTAGAAGTTTTACTCAGTTGCTGGTTGCCTTCCAGGCCAGAGGTTTAATCCTCTTGATAAATTTTAAACGTATTGTAGTGTTCACAGTTCTCTGTACTACATACGGCTTCCTGTTAATATAAGGCCAATCTTCCACGTTTATTATTTAAAGTTAAGAGTTTAGTTTATTTTTTATTTTTTACGTTTAGACCACAAGTAGTGGGTCTTTGTATTCCGAAGTACGGAAGTTATTGTAAATAGAGAAAAATAAAGGGTTTTGTATACCCTTCTTGTGTATCCTGTCTACTTACCACAGTTATTGAACATAGCTTTAGTAAGCTCTCTGTTCCGAGTCAGGTCCTTGCATGTTCCCGAAGAAAGTAAGACGGAACATTGAACCTGATAGACTGACGAATCAATATGCAAAACACTACGATTTACTGATGGCAATGTATATAAAATTTTGATGGGACGTTGTGAAGACGAACAGACTAAAAAAATTACTTAATTCTTACTAAAAGATTATCAGATTAGCAAAAGTGAAAGAAAATAATTCTACAATTTGATAAATAACCTCATGCAGATACTCGTCTTTCCTTTTCTAGTTTTTTAGACTATATTTTTCATGAAAATATTTCACCTTTATAAAAGAGATTAATTAAATGATAAATTTTAATAATTAAGTAGACATAAATTTAAAATTCTTTTAACTGCTATATGTAGCATTAATTTTCCACCCATTTTCAGTTTTTGAATGCTCAAGTTTCTTTCTTGCTTTTTTAGCAAAATATTATTTATGAATACAGTTTGTAATCTTCCATTTTTTTTACCATCTTTTTTACACGATATTTTTCATGAAAGTTTGTCAATACAACTTTATAAAAGAGACGAATTAAAGAATGATTTTAAATTGTTAAGTACATAAATTAAAAATTCTAGTAAGTGATATTCTTTTAACTATTAAAATTCTATTAACTGCTATTCTCTTAACTATTAAAATCCTCTTAACTATAAAATGTGAAATGTAGAGGTTAAAGTATTCTTTATTCTTACTAGCGCACGCAAATCATCATGCGAATATTCACTGATCGCTCTTAAAACCTGAAAAACACATGCTTGCGATGTTATCGTCATGCGATGAATAATAGGTATTTTATTTTTTTACCAGGATGTTTTAAATTTGCTATTTTTTGAACCTCTTTTTTGCTCAATTACTTGTTTTCTTTTCTACCACGATGTTTTCGCGGCTACGTTTTCGGTGAACACCAATTAAATCGAATAATCCAATTCAGAAGTGTGTAATAAAATGCGTAGTTGCTATTCCATCTAGTTAAGTCCACACCCTACCAACAGTCATAAATTTTACGATCAAGCTACTAATTCTGTAGAATATCGTTAGTAAGCAAGAATTTTTAGCCTTATATATAGTGACTGAAAATATTCTACACTTCTGGCAATGTCCAGAAGTTTCTTTCCATTCGCTTTTGTTATTACGTTTAGATTTTGACAAGTTAAATCTGATACGTCTCTAGCCATTTGTTTCTCATGAACGGAACTTCTCATATTTCATTACTGCGACTGGTTTTCTCCATGTAAAACATGAATATGAATTGGTTTCTATTAAAGTGTATTCTACAGAGGCATTCCTTAAGCAGATAGCCATAAGATGTTTTTCTATAACCCAAATAAAGCCCTTCTGAATAATCAAAATAGCTGCCAAAGTATCTTAGACTGTAGGCCTTTTGCTTAAGTCAAAAGCACACAGATTTTCTTTCCAATGGTTTTTCATCCTACTGTGGAATTATGAACAACGAAAAAGCTGATACGTTGGTTGAGAAAGGAACTTTGATAATGCAACGCATTAATCGACCGCTGTCTTTTCGTATGACTAAATTGTTTTTAACTTGGACTTAAGAAAATTCTTAAACAGAATATGATTCAACGTGCTATGGATAAGAGATGGAGGATTTTGGGATAGACACAACTTTCATTCCAAGTTTCTGAAGAAAGACAGCGGCTGTGTGGCTCCAATCAGTATATGCTTTTTTGACATTTAAATAATTGTATTACACTTTCTCGGCATGAGGACATTGTTAAAAGCTACTGGAGAGCCCGTGAACCAATAGCTTAAGCACTAATGTTTAGCATTTGTAAAATAAATAAATAATCCAATTCATGTCTGCTGTATTCGAAAACGAATTTGTTTGAAATTTGTTTGAAACGAATTTGTACGTAAGCAAATTGCAAGAAGGTATTATGAAGTACTTTAAATGTTTCCTCATAATTTTGAGTTCTTAAATCTTGCCTTCTTTATGTAGAAGCTTTCAAATCTTAGGAAATCTTTTATAGAAACCGACAATAATTAGTATTTAGACTCGTAGTTCTTTTTTCCTTTAATGAACATTATGAAAATGACAATAGTCAGGTACAGCCTTGATTTTCTAGATATCTACTACTATACACATATCTTTTAGGCAAACGATATGTCTCTCTAAATAATCAATACATCAAAGGAATCAGCATTACATTAACATTTCTGGGTTCTCGCACCATTTTCCCGATGTTTCTCTAAAATACATTTTTTTAATAAAATATCATCTACGCATTATAATAGCGGCATAGGATTTTGAAGCACATCTAAAAAGATTGCAGAGATCTAGCTATAAGAATAGTTCTCAACAACCGAATCTGGAGGTCTATATTTCTCTGTACAATATGTGTCGCATCTATTCTAACTGATCAAATTTCAGTGTGCTAAAATTCCAAATTTTATCCAATTTCCTTCTGTGAATGATTGTTTTGTTTTTATTTTTAGGTTATTTCAGAATACGAGCGTGCCATAATCTTCCGTTTAGGACGTATTACTAAAGGTGGAGCAAGAGGTCCAGGTAAATATATAGCATATTTAATGTTAGTTTGATTATTAACGTCATCCCACTAACATTCATTTGGTGGTAGAATGTTTGTGATATAGTTTCCGATTAACCAAATGAGAAAAGTCTATCTTTTTATGACCTGAAAAATGTTAAATGCAAACAGCTATTTGTTCTGTGTATTTGTGTATTTATATATTGCACAAGCTTTACTAGTTTACTACTTTGTAAATGAAACAAAGCAATTTAATGCTGATGTTGATTGTGAAAATTTAAGTTCGGAAAAGTATTCGTTTGTAGTTAAAAAGATCAATTTGTGTAATTTAATTGTTAATGTTAATTTCTTTTAACATCCGTATCTTATCGTAGAGATTATCTCCTTTTAAATATTAAAATAACGTATAATTACCTATTAGATTTTTGATGTCTTATCTGTATATACCATAGGAAATCCATCATGAAGGCATGCCTCTCCTTAAGCAGATAATTCTCGCATACAATGCCATACCTAGTTTAATAAGCAGATATTTTTGGTGCATAGTCATTTTAATTAGTGGCAATATTCCTCATTTTGAACTCCGTGTGGTATAAAACAGCTAATTTTATAATGAGGTTCATTAGAAACGCAAAATTATCTAATTTCATATCTCCTTGTTTTATTCAGTACAGTAATATCATGTCTTTTAGGATAAAAAATAATTTTAAGGCATCACGCAATCTTTTGAGGGAGAATGAGAAAACAACACTGCTATTTAATGATAACTAAATAGAAATCATTTCTTAACTGAGTTGTTTCAACCTCTCTGTACCTCCGCCCCCTTTTTAAAAAATATTATTACTCCCCTCTCAATTTTCATAACAACCTAATTTCATAAATACTCACGCGATATTGTAATTTATTTAATAGACTACAAAATGATAAAACATGTTATATATAAATATAAGTAAAAAATATATATTTATTATAAGTAACAATAATTTTAAATGTAATAAAAACAAGTCTTACACATAATTAATACAACATAATATTTTAATGCGATAGCTGGGTTTGTTTTTCAGCAAAAATGTTCTCAAACCGTGGCATCATTGCAAATATTGCTGTTCTAAGCTCCTTTCCAATCACTAAAGAAGACAGACACTTTATCTTTAAAACAGCTACTCAAAATCTATATACATATAAAGAACAAAGTTTGTGTGTTTGTCTTCTAATAACCCAGTCACTACTATAGCTATCGTCACCAGACTTCCTACAACTCTTTTCTGGGTCGCGGAAAAGGTCGACGTCCACTTTTTTTCAAAAAGGAATAGCTAAAATCATAGATATTAATTAAAAACTCGTAAAAAGGATAATATTCGCCCTCATTTTTCCGAGTGGCAACAGTATTGCAAGCTGGAGATGAAAATCTGCTTTATTTCGAAAGTTGTTGCCACTGCTCGATTTCAAATCCTAGAGTTTGTTAATAAAAAATTTCTATGTTTTACGATGAAATAAAAATAGCATTGTCAAACATTAAATACATTATTCCCGATTCCAAATATTCGTGGGAAGCCATTTCAGTGATTCCCATCTTCGCACGACTTTAATCAGCCGAAATATTAATTAAAATCTCTGAAGGCGCTAATTTTCGTACTAATTTTTCCGAGTGGCAACAGTGTCACGCATTGGAGATAAAAATGCTTTATTTCGAAAAGTGTTGCTACTGCTCGCTTTCAAATCGTAGAGTTTGTTAATCAAAAATTTGTAAATTTTACAAAATCTATACATATAAAGAAGACTGTGTGTTTGCGTGTTTGTTTGTTTGTTTGCGTTATTTAATTCTGATTTTTTGCCCTATTTAATCGACTAAAATTGAATATAGTTGAAATATTGGGTGAAACTTGAGCCTTTACGACCATTTGTTTAGAAAGACCAAAATCCTTGAAAACTGCAATGCCATTGTTGCTGATGTAATGAGAGAGAATTAGCATATTTCTCTATCGAAATTTTTTATGTGGGTTCCGTAAAGCATCAGACTTAAAAACATATGACTATGAATTGTAATTTTTGCATCGTTATTAGAGAAGGATTACAGCAGTATCGTTCTCTCTGTTGTTAGATGTATTACTCTCAATGTAACTTTACTGGCATCGAGTTCTTCCGCTAGTAAATAAATAAATAAAACAATTTTAAACAAGGTATTATAAATGACAATAAAATTTCTAAAGCTTTGTTTGTGAAAGTAGGAAAATCTTTCATTACTTGTAGCCAAAACGTAATAATGTAAATTTCTTGTTAAAACATCTGCTTTAATGCGCTGTCAAAAGGTAAGTCAATTATCATTTCTTGCCCTGCTGTCGAAAGAGCAAAATTATCAAATTGTTCAGTCACAAATGGGTGTTTTATCCCTTCGTATTTCGCCATACGATCTTTAAAGTAAAACGAGAATTCCTTCTAAAGCTTGATCAAGTAAGTATTATTAAGAACTTTAGTTTCTTCTATTTCATCTGCGAGACAGGTGATTTTGAAATTGGGATACTTTTCAAAGGTGTTATTTTCCAAACTTATTATCCAGAGTTCGACTTTCTTTTTAAATGGAGTAATCCTGTTTTTCTCCATCAGAGCAAGAATTTGAGGCCCTTATACTGATTTATTTAAAGTGCAAGGAATTTTGAGCCATAAAACAAGTTGACTTAATTCCTTATTATTATCAGTCGGAAATAGGGCGATCTCTTCTTTTAGCTCAAATTCCTTTCAAAATGCTTTGGAATGAGAAAACCAACGTGCCTAACAATAATATTGTTACGAAATGTCCAGGCGCGGTAAGATAGCTTCCCCGCAAAACAGGGTTAGGGTTGCCATAAAATGGCAAGGGAAGACAAAGTTGCCATATTTGGCAAGAAATCGCCCATTTGGCGATATTTGGCGACAAAATTGGCGATATGCCATGGACGGATGGAGAACCTTCTGGAATGAATTCTTACCAGTTTAGCCCAGAATATTCTCGAACACAAGCCGAAAGCTATATAAAACCTGCTGGTACGCGGAGAGTATCGAGTGCGAGATAGTGTCTCGAGTTATCCGTGCGGAGTCGATCCAGTTGACAGCTGGGCAGCGAATGCCGAGTGGGTCGTCCAGTGCATCGCAAGAATCTCCTAGTGTATCGCGGTTAGTGCATCGTCGAGAGAGTATGTTGAGCTCCGGTAACGACTGAACCGAAGAGTAGGGAGCTGTGCTCTGAGTGTCGAGTGCATCACGAGTTGTAACGTGGAGAGTCTCTAGAGTACGTGGAGTTCCGAGAACGACCGAGCAGAGTCGGGAGCTGCACTCTGGTGCTTTGCAGCGAAGTTGTCTCAACTGTTATAACCTGATAACCTGAAGGCTGTGTCGCTATTTTTTCCAGCGAGTGTATAGTAGTTCTTCGACGACTGTAAAACGTGACTTTGGAGGTGTCCTGATTAATATTGGCTAATTAAAGTGTGTTTCGATACTTCATCAAGTGTCATCGTTATTCACTCGAAATCCGCAGGAACCCAAGGAAGAAGAAAAACAACAACGTAACAACTGACGTCAGAAAAAAAAAGTAACAGTATAAAAGTACTGTAAATTCTGCACCCATTACTATTAATAGACTATTTTTTTAAAACAATTACAGCTCTTATAATAACTTCAAATGTTGTTGGTAGATCTTCGCCCATATCTTTTGAAATATGTTAATCATATTGGACGAGTAGCCACCTTTTGTACTAGTGCCTGTACCATCGTTTTTTTCCTGCCTCAGCTGATGTCTCTCTTTAAACATTTGAAAATGGATGAATCGAGAAAAATGCAGCATTCCATTAGCAAACGTTATTAATTGGGGGAGATGGGAGCTAGCAGTTAATGAATTGGGAATTTCGTCAATAAGACTTACTGATGAAGGAGATGAAAGGATAGCAACGGATAAATTAGCACGATTTTAAATACGGGATGAAACGGGAAAGGACTAATCGGGAAATTCACTGCTAAATAATAAAAAGCACAGTTCGTCTGATTCGTAATATACAAAGAAGCAATGTAGGTATTCATCCTTTCCATAAAATGCCATTTTTATTAGTTATATATATATATAACTAATAAAATGGCATTTTTATTAGTATATATATATATATATATATATATTAGTATGTATATAATTTTAAAACAAATTTAAATTCAATTTTTAACAAACGTATAAAAGTAAAAAAAACAAATTTAAAAAAGCCTAAAAAAAGAAAAAAAGCCAAAATAATTAAAATTTTTTTTTTTTTTTAAATGTGAAATTATTTTAATTGTGTTGCAAAATTGTTTTAATTAAATTCAATTTATTCTTATGAAACAATTAGTATGTATATATATATATATATATATATATATATATATAATATATATTAATATTAGACAAATTTCTATGGAAAAAGATGTTTAATAAAATGATTTTAGTAGAAATATATTGCATACATTTCAGTAGAAAATATAGAAATGAATAGTATTTTTACAATATACTTTAACATACAGTAATTTATGTATGAATATATTTACAGAATTTTCAATGCCTTTGTTTAAAACATTTAAGATTTTGTTAATAAAACTGTATTTGTTACTTTTTCTGATATCTTTGGATACATGTTTGCAGTGCCAAAAACAGCTGTAATCTGCCAATCATATGAACATTCTAACAAGTTTTCTTTTTCTTCCCCCTTGTTTTAAGGTGTTTAATGTGAACAGCAAAAGAGTTGAATCGTTGTGGCATATCTTAGGGTTATGGTCACATAGATAATATTTTCTTTTACTTCAAAATTTATAAATGATATTCTTCATACAACCCAAACTTCTTCTTCAGGTATTAAAACCCAAACTTCTTCTTCAGGTACATTTTAATTTATTTACATTTTTTCACAGTTGGTTCCATGAAACACATAGCTTAGGTTCTGATAGAGCGACTTTTTCGCGCAAGTGTTCAAAGCACTTCCCCATTTTTCAATTGTTTCGGTTATTTCAATTCCATTTCTGTTATAAGATTGATTAATGAGACCCAGTTTTGTGAAGTAACAGTAAAAGAATTTCTGTGTGATTACGAAACCTTGGCATAAAAGTATTTTGCTGCCAAATTCAGAAGAATTTTAAAAATGCCAGTATTTTTACTCCGATTGCTTACTTTTGGCTTTAGCGTTCTTTTTTCCTACAACTTTCCATTCTTGTCGCTTTTCTGTTGTCACCTAGCGCATCTAGAAATGTTATCATCTGATAAGTCTTAAATGTTGACTGGTTGAAATGATTTTGAGACGAAGTCTCTTATTTAGATTCAGACGAATGTACGGACACTGTACTTTTTCTTTGCCAAATTTGAGTCATTTTCACTGAAATACACTTTTCAAATAATTCCAATTCAAAGAATTTCATAAATGACTTAAAAAACAGCAAGTAGATTCTTTTGTGACATTATTGTTAGCCCACATTCTGATCTGCAGAAAATCTTTTGCCACATAACTGCTTTTATAATACAGATAATCCTCAGAAATAATATACCCACTAAATTCTTTCACAAATCTAGGCTATATTCAGCGTGTTCTAGTGTCTACAGACCGATTCTGGGCAATGCTACCAATGCATCAACAGCAACATGCAGTCAAGCATAATCCTGAAGCAAAATTATATTTAAGCAATTTCTCTTGGGCAAAGAATCAAATTTTTTAATTTAAAAAATCAAATTTTTTAAATTAAAAAATTTGATCTTTGCTGAATACTGTAGTATGGCAACTGAATACTGTAGTATGGCAAATTATGCATACTGTAGCGTTTCAACTGTTTTATTAGTCTTCTTCACAAGTTAAAACAAAATTCATCTACATCTTTGCTGTGTAGTCTTACAGGCCTCTTCTTCACTCGACACAAACAGCGTATTAGATACTTCCTTTCACAATGACCAATGCAGGTTAAAGTATGCCGATATGTACTTGAATCTCCAGAGAACTTGACATGTTTGATTTTCTTATGTGTAATGTTGTATGTAATGTTGTCATTAAATTTTCTGAAGCAGGAAGGGTGAAAAATGGGCAATGCTCTCACCGAAACTCGAACCTGGACCTCTCGAATACGCGCCGAGTGTGCTACAGCTATACCACGAAGTAATCCAGAAAGGAGGGAGAAAATGCCTTATAATGTGAATAGGAGTCAGTTTTCCTTTGAAACATCTTCCGTGGAGGCAACCTTCTTCTTTGCTAGATAGCCTCCGTGAGCTGCAATATATTGAATTAACCTCACCGTCAGTGATCTTCAGTATTTTTTCTACTTAAGTTAAAAAAATCCTCGAGAAAGTCACGATGTTAATTCTTTCTTAGCAGAAGTCCTTTCTTTACGAGAGTGCAAGCCACATGCAGCCCATGAATTACTTTTTCATCAACTTATGATTCAAGTGAACAAATTGATTATTGAATGTCGATTTCCAAGTGTGCGTATATTTTTATACTTTTAAACTATTAAAAAAATATCTTCAGAGCTTAGAAATCAACAATATCACAGGAAACTCACTTTGTCAAGTTATTTCATCGCGTAAACTCCCACAATGTTCTTATTAACTTGCTTGTAATTTCAGTCTTAAAATATGCTATTAATATTTTTCTTGAAAAATATATTCCCATATGTTACTCTAATTTTCTTTCTGTGATCTCTGATTTTGGTGGTGTTATTTCAGTAAAAATAATAAGATTATTTGAAATTAGTACCTCGAGAGTCGTGAAATAGCTGCTGTATACTAGAAGACTTTCCTAAGTATATTTTTTATACGTAATGCGTCTATGTCCCCGCCCCAAGATTCAGCACAAATTGCCTCTGCAGAGTAGAGAAATGTGCCGCCATTGTTTTACAGTTTCGGAAATGAATCTTTGTCAGAGTTAAATAAATGTTAAGCTTTATTCCAAATCATTAGCAATTAAATTCCCTCTTTAATTGTCATGAGTTTCTACAAATTTTTCTCAAGTTATAACAACAGCATTTCATTTCGTTAATAATATTACTAATTCGCCCCCTTTTTTTATTTTCCTTAATATATTTTCCTTTTATTTTTTAGAATCAGATTTTTTTTAAAGCATGCGTAATGAATAGCACACTAGCAGATAATTGTGGGTTCAGGTTTTGCTGTTAGTATAAACTTGTGATAAATTCTCAACCCATGGCTTATGGTATTTTTGTATTCATTTTTTTTCACTGAAATTACTTTCGAATCAAGTTCGAGGCAGATATATCCAATTAAGAAGTCTATACTCCTGAATCTCATTGTTAGAAGTTTGTCCTTTCATTTCTCGCTGAATATATGTAAGTAGATTTATTTTTGATTAAAAATAAAATTAAAATATGTCCAGATAAACTAAAATTTGAGTGTGACCACTAGTGAGACTGCGTGCGTATCGGAAATTCTAAAGATATGCTCAATTTAAAATTATTTTGCGATATTGCTCTTGAACTGCATTTTATGGTTCAAGAGCGAAGAACATGATATTTTATAAAGGTAAGACATAAAAATGTAAAAAAAAAAAAAAAAAAAAAAAAAAAAAAAAACGCTCCATTGGGACGTAATTTAAAATCTGAAACCTTTCAGACTTTTTTTTTTTAATTTTATTTTCATCACATTTTAAAGTATTTTGATAAATAAAAGCTTACTTCTTCACTCCTCAGGATTTAGTAAAAGGTAGAATTAAAATATATTCGAAGTAGAAATTTAAAATCAATGCTGATTTCTCAATAATTCAATGCTTCAATAATTGCATAAATGATTAAAGTCAGTTTGTTTTAAAGTATACGACACAAAACGATTCGCTTTAAGATTCAAGCTATGAAAAAAAAAAAAAAAAAAAAAAAAAAAAAAAAAAAAAAACTTTTTTATCCTTCTAGAATATATCGAAGTGTGCCCGGTGTCGTATTTTTCGCACCTCCATGGAACGAAAGCGAATTATTAATTAAACTGTTAATGACATAGTTTCATGATTTAAAAATTATTATAATATTTATCGTAATTAGAACCGTTTTAAGCATCACCTTGCAAGATTTTTGAACGAAACTGAAATGCATTATAAATTATAGTATTTTCCCCTTAAACTTACAACAAATAAATTTATTTAATGTAAGAAGCAAAAATCCATATATTTAAGTGCGTTCATTTTCTTAAGCATAGGTTTTTATATGTTGGCATATATGTGAATTTTGATTAAATTCAAATTTGGTTATTTTCCTTACCGTTATAAAACGTTTTTTTTTTTTTTAAATTCAGGTTTGATTTTTGTATTACCATGCACGGACAGCTACTTCAGAGTAGACCTTAGAACTCTCTCTTTTGACGTCAAACCACAACAGGTATGTTTTGTTAATTAGTTTATTATTTATTAGAACTTCATCTTTTTTTTTTTCTAATACTATTTTATATGTAGTTTCTCTGAAAAACATCGTACTATCAGCTTCTATCTGTACTTCTATCTGTATATGTCTCTAACCAGGTTCGCGAGAACTTGCTCAGGTGAAAATATAAGAATAGTGCCAGATTAACTAAGAATAATTTGAAATACACCAAAAACTATGATTCAAAGCTAAATTTGATTTGAATTTAATTTTTGAATATGAATTCAAATATGATTCAAAGCAGGTGAAAAGTTATCTTTTCACCTGAAACAAAACAATAACTATGCGCTGTTATAAAAGGTTATTATATATATCCCAGCGGGCTGCGGCCTGAGCACAGTTTTTAAGTTCTACGTACACCTGTAAAGAAAATAAAAGACAATGTATAAAAATACTGGAATGAAATCAGTTTAATCTTTCCAACCAAGAACCAATTCGTAAATAATCGTTTGTTGCCAAACCAGGAAACAAAAACTTTTGACACGGGTACGCATATGCCACCAAGATTTAAATTTAATAAAATATAACAATTTTATCTCTATAAATAAAAAAATTAACGTGGCAATAACATACAATGTCTCACAAAAGTGATGGGACACTTGTGCTTTAACAAAAGAAAACTGTAATAAAATAATTAAAAAAAACATGTAAACATTTTTTGTGGGTGTGTTTCATACTTAAATTCGTAACGATTACACAACATCATTTTCACATTTTCTCCAAATATTAAAAATTAATTTAATAAAAATACAATTGTTTAGAACGGAGCAAAAAATGGCTCACATAAGTGATGGGACACCATTAGATACATACTACAAAAAAAATAAAAATTTTTGGGGTTTTTTTTTTTTTAACTCAAAAGCAATTGGCAATAATTTATAAAATCATCTGCAGTATTTCTCTCTCCAGTTTGTTTTAGAATTTTTTGTGTTTTTTTAGCTCTGTGCAGCCATGAATGCTAAACGAAAAGAAACTTTGCCTGAAATTCGAAAATTAGTTATTAATTTACATATTGAACGTCGAAAATCTGTTTAGAGAAACTGATGAAACAGTTAACTTGAGTCATTCAAACAGTTTTCAATATCATTAAACGATATAAAAAGAATCATATGATTCAGGATAACAGAAGACCTCGCCGACCATCAAAGCTATCCAATGGAATAAAGCGAATTATCGTTCGGAAATATTAAAAAAAAACTCCAAGAATGAGTGCTCCTATAAGTTGCTGTCTGATTTACAAGCATTATATGGAGTAATTGTTAATCCTGAGACTATTATAAGAGTAATTAGATCTGCTGGATATCACGGTAGAGCAGCCAGGAAAAAATTCTTCATTGAGTGAAAAGAATAGACAACTCAGACTGGCTTTCGCAAAATCCAACATAAATAGGAATTCTGATTACTGAAATGAAGTTATATTTGCTGATGAGAGTAAATTTAATATATTTGGTTCTAACGGTAGAATCTTGGTGTGGAGAAAACCCAGGAAGAATTTCGCAAACAGAACTTGGGGCCAACAGTAAAACATGGTGGAGGAGGAGTTAAGGTATGGGGGTGTATGTCGTCCGCTGTAGTTGGTAATTTTGTTTTTATTGACAGTATAATGGATCAGTACAAGCATATTGACATTTTAAAAAAATCAAAATTTGAAATCTTCAGCACGAAAATTGAAACTTCATAACGATTTTAAATTCTACCAGGACAATGACCCCCACCCCCAAGCACAACTGCTTTGAACGTTAGACTCTGGCTGCTGTATAACTATCCTGAAATAATAAAAACAACCACCAAAATCTCCAGACTTAAATCCCATAGAGAATATTTGACAAGAATTCGAATCAAGAATTCGCCAAAACACACCATTTCTTCAAATAACAATTAAAAAAAATCGTGCTTCAAGAAGAATGGGGTAAAATCACTCCAGAAATCCAAAAAAAAATTAGTCGAATCCATTTCAAGAAGATTAAATCATGTTTTAAAAGTAAAAGGAAATCCAACAAGTATTAAAACCTTTTAAAAAGTAAATTTTTTGGATAAATATTTGATGGAAAAGTAAGGTGTCCCATCACTTAAGTGAGCCATTTTTTGCTCCGTTCTAAACAATTGTATTTTTATTAAATTAATATTTTAATGTTTTTGAGAAAATTTTTGTTATGTAATATTGTTTAATATATTTAAGTATGAACACACTCACAAAAAATTTGTACATGTTTTTTTTTTTTTTTTTAAATTTATTTTACTACAGTTTCCTTTTGTAAAGCACAAGTGTCCCATCACTTTTGTGAGACACTGTATCGTGCCAGTTATCCTAATCTGAAATAAAAAAAGTTGCCAAGAGCAGCTATTTATTTAAAATGCTGACATTAACGAAATTTTAGGCACATAATGACGTCACCTGCAATCGCGTACTTTCTTCAAGGTCAGAATATGACCTTGATTTTTATCTCCAGCAGGCGAAACTTGCCACTCTGGAAAATGAGTGCGAAAATTAGAGTTTTTAATTAATATCTCGGCTGATTAAAGTCGTAAGAAGATGAGAATGGTTCAAAATGGCTTCCCACGAATTTTTGGAAGCCGGGTAATACCTCTCTCGAAACTCAACTCCCCGCCGTTGCGGAGAGAATAATAGTAGAAACAGATAGACCCGCTCATATTTTAACAAATTTGTTAACAAGATTATTGAAATTTATTGTTATTAACAATAAGTTTCTGTGCAATCTTATATTCAACAAATATTACTGATTTAAATCATTACGTTTTAACTCTTCTGTTAATTTTTAATCAAAGATATTTATCGATATATTTAAAAAAAATAGTGCATGAAAGCATATTTTGGTTTTAAATGAAAATGTTGAAAAAAATTGTTTTGGTAGTTCAGAATAACTTATGGCATTGAAACAGTATAAATAGTAATATAATTAACACTGAAATATGCTTCACTAATTTTCAAGCACGCGTTTTGTAATTCTTTTTATTTTATTAAAGCAGACTTATAAGTAATTTTTGTTTCAAAAACTTGCTCTTTTATTTAATTCATATCCTGAAGAAAGAATAACCACGCTTAATAGTTTTTCCCGGTCAAGTGAAAGCCTTATACAGTTTTTCACATTTGTTTTCGGACACTAATGTCTAGGATGCTTTTGCGAGGAGTCTTGCTGGTCGACAATGCCGTCCAATAAACAAGAACACCCTCCTCCGTACAGTGACAAAGTAATGGGATAAATTACCCCAACAGCTTTTGGATAATGTGAAAATTATGACAAGACGTACGGAACCTTACATCGCCCTCCACGGTGACCATCGAATTGACTTACGCGCCAGAATGCCAGCAGACGATAATTGCATTTTTTCACGTATTCAGCACAATACAACCGTTTTGTGCTTGAACACTTTTCAAAACATTCTAGATTTCAGAGCACAGTAAATTATCTTTATCTTTATGTTCTAGTACTCTGTCATTATTTTATTTCACTTGCCATCCAAATACACTTCTTAACACGCTATATAGTCGCTTATGATCCGTTCTTAGCAATTGTCCACTAGTGTATTAAAGAATTGGGATTTAACATTTATCTTAAGCTTACGGGGGTGCCAATCTGATAAAATTAAACGGCAGAGCCTTAAGGATAATAAGTGAATAGAACAAACTTTTAGAAAAGAATAAGGGCTGAAAAATGACAAATTATAAATAGTTATATCTTAGAAGTTTAGAAAGAACGACATTCAATGCCTATTCTATTTGGCATATTGGAACCGCTCGAGTAATAAACAAGCTAGCGGATGTGCAAAGATTTTCTTTATTTCTCTATTAAATATTATAGAGAATAAGATTATAGAGTTATTCTAAAGTGTATAATACTCCAGAGATGGTGGCCTTGCAAATCCTGTCTCGAGTTTAGCCTATTTATTTTAAAGCCGAAAAGAAAAGGAATTGGTATTATTTTCACGAAGACGAAAATACAACAGTCAAGTATAGTAATAAAAAGCTGCTATAATAATAAAGAGCTGGTTTTCTACATTATTATCCAATTGGTCAAGGGTATAATAATATTATTATACAGCAAAATTTATTTAGGCTTAACGATACTTTCTGAGTCTTCCAAGCCAAATTAACCGCAGTAAAGGAAGCTTTAAACTGGATATCACTAATCTAGGAATTTTTCATAATAATGGCTCTATTGAAAATTTAGTGACAGTTGAAGAGTTTTGCAAGCTTTATCCTGTGAAAATAGAATGTATAATAGTTTTATGTTAAAAATATTTTTCTTCGAAGCCGTAAAAAACTCATATAAAATTATTCTGACTTCGTGGTCAACTTGGCATTCGTGATAATGGTTGCTTTGTTTGCGAAAACTCTATCCATTTGAACGCTATTGTTATTACCACTCACATTTCAGAAACAATCATCAGGTGTTTGGTTAAAAAATATTCAAAGAGAAATGATGAGAAGAATGGTATAATGGAGGTACAGAATGATAACTGTATACCGTGTTAACACACCCAGGACATATTCCCAACCCGGAGTCAACACTGAAAAGAAAACTCGATTTACATGCTGGCAAAGGCAATGCGGTACAGGGACAAAGGGGCGCATCACACATGAGTATTTTTCACTAGTATCGTCAACCCTAAAATCGAAAAGTTCCATGCTGACCAACTGTACACTGAAGATTGCCCTGCACCAGCCTATTTACGTAAGTTCTGCCTTTGAGACTCGAACCAGTGCTCCTGTGGTAAAGTAGGCATTCTGAGACATTACTTACATTAATGCACTCTAACACAAGACATGCATCTCTCAGAACCATCTGAAAGTAATCTTCAAATCTAGAGAGCTCGACTGGTGGAAAATGAAAAGGGTATAAAGAAAGCTCTCAACGAAACTGCATAGTATACCATTAACGCTAATGGCGACAATATTTAGGCCCTTTCCCGCACAGCATGTTACTCAGCTCAGTCTCATACAATCTATAACGCACTTGTTCGCGATGTCTAAATCGTTATTTTGTAATAGTATGATACATTTATGTGAATTATCATTTATTATATTGTAAATTTTATTTATTAATTATTAAATTATTTGTTATTTTGTAAATAGTATGATACATTTATGTGAATTATTATTTTAATACTTGCGTATATTTTGTTAAATGTTCCTGTAATATCTCGCACAGTAGATGATGCTATGAAATTAATATAAATAATCCTATAATTTACGCAGAGTAGCTTTTAAACTTATGACATACTGTGCACTTGTAGCAAGACATTCCAAAATATTTCCTTCAAGGGCATTATATGCCCACGTAATGTCCTCCTGGGCCTTGAGCGCGGTGCAGACATAATAGTTTTTTAAAGAGGACACACAATAACATTCTAAGAATAAAAGCAGGCTTGTTGTTCTTTTGGGGGTGTAACATAGAACGGGTAAACAAAATTCCAGCAGAAAATACAGATTCCACAGAATACACAGATAAACAAAATTCCATTCTGAAATCAAGCATGCGGAATAATACTTGTACTTTAACATTAGCTTGTGTATTTTTTTTAACCCTTTCAAAGATCTATAATCCATAGAAAAAAATTCATGCCATTATTGTGTGCAATATTTTAGGAAGGTATATTAAGTTCGTTTGGATGAAAATTAAAATCTGGCTTTTGTTGAAATTCTAATAAATATAGTTGAGTGCGTACGGGTTTGTTACGAAATGAATGCACAAGTCCGATGAAAAATGAAGAAAATTTATTATTATCACAACAAATATGATTAAATGTCCTCAAATAATCGTGCAGTATCACAATATATCACAGTAGATATCTTCTAACAACTCAAACGTTCAATAGAACTGAATTCAAAACAACTAAAGAAAGCTAATCCGCGAATTCGCTACAGTCAACAAGGGCAGTTTTCTAAACAACAACAAACTAAGTAACTCCACGAACTGAGAGGTTTTCCTTCTTTTACAAGATTTTAAAATCGCGCGCGAGAATTTTCTAGTAATTTCTCGAAATCAAAAAGAGATATTTATTAAATGTTACATGCACGCGCTCTTGTATATTCAATTTTTCGGCTTAGCTTTCTTTTAATATTCGTCACGCGCTACACTGCGCGGGAAATAAAACCATTTAATTTATAATTCAAATAACATTAGCTATTTAAATACCAAATCCGTAACAATACATAATTTTTCCATTGGCGGGCACTGAGCCGACTTGGCCACTACTAAGGCCTGAAGTGATAGCCACTTTATTATGGAAGCACCTAATAGGTGGGCCACCTTTACCTCTTATGAATGCACGTACAATTACAGTCACGCCTCCCCCGGGATTCAAATCCGGGCTCTTCAGCTTCGCAGTAGGCTCCCCTAACCACTAAGCCGTCTTGGGAGGCTAATAAATATAATTATCTGACGAAATACGATACATTAGTTGATGATGCGATAAACTGCATACTGTTTTCATATTTTAAATAGTCTTTACGAACTCGTGTGCAAATTTCAAATTAAATTTTTCATGCGATTGCAGATTTCACATGTTTAAAGGTAACAATAAAAGTATTTTGAGATCTATTAAAAAATCTGTACGGGGAAATGACAAAACGTAAACCATGAATACAAACGTTAAAGCGCAGTCGTCAATTAATTTAGTAGTCCAGAGAATGTAACCAAGTTTTATTTTCTCCTTAACCGAGGACTAAATTTCAAAGTTTTTAAAAATTCGGCAAGGTGTCGAATGTAATGCCCTTTATATGTGTCAAAATTTTTATCCATAACTTATCAATTTCTATCACTCTGAACACCAGCAAGACATTCAGACCGTTGTTTCATTGACCTTCATTTGCTCTGTATTATATCTTATGTATAAATAACAAATTTCAAGTTATTTCTCCTGTTTCCAAAAGCGCGAGAGAAAATCAAATCTTAAACGCAAAGCTGTAGAGCGATTAAATCAGCGATGCTTTCGAAGGGATTCGGACTCCGGACCTTTTGATTGTCAGCTGAATGTACTTCCAGATACACCATGAAAGCATACGGTAACGATGGAGCACTCAACTCACTCCTTACAAAGTTAAATATATATATAACTTTTCAAAAGAATTTTTTAATGGGCTACGTGCAGAATGGAGGATTATGCTTATTGTATAAGTGAACAAATTTTTAATTTTATATATATATATATATATATTCTTGCATATATGTGGCTCAATTCTCAGTTACATGTTTTATGACATTGCTTTATTAGGTGTTAACCAGGGATTCTGTCACTGTATGCGTTGATGCTGTTGTGTATTTTCGTGTAAGCAATCCAATCACCGCAGTCACCAACGTGGCCAATTACGTTTCGTCAACTAAGTTGCTCGCAGCTACAACACTGAGGACAGTTCTGGGAACAAAGAGCTTGTCTGAGATCTTATCTGAAAGGGAGCAAATCAGTCATATAATGCAGGTAGGACAATTTCTTATGTAGCCATAATTTTTATTGTTCGCTTGTAGAAACAACCTCGAATAACGCGAATGTATTCAAAATTTTTTTGATAACTACACCATCACATTTCATATTCGTGAAATGCTTAGGAAAAGTTCTGTATTTGATTTTTATTCCTGTTGTTGCGGGAATAAAAATCAAAATATGTGTTATGGCAAATAATTACGAGTGACTTCATATTTCATGAACTAATCTTATATTATTGCAAATTGAAACCATGGATTATAGCACCATTGTTCCACTATAAGAAATAAGAAATGAATCAGATGCGCTGTGTCTCTCAGATAATCTCTTTAAATTATGTTTAAGATACTCTCCACTTTTGTGGTGTCCAGTTTTAGACACGCGTAGACTTATTTTAGAGCATTCCAAAATACTCTGAATGACTGAAGTGACATTTTTTCCGTGTTTAAAATCAGCACGCTTTTTTAAATACTTGTTTGTTACTTTCTTACTTAACTACAAAAAAACTGAATTTTTTTTTGTTAAAATAAAATTCCGTGGGGAAAAAAGAACTGTATTCCAACTTGATATTAGTAACTAAAAATTTCTCTAACATGCCTAAGCATGCAGCACAACACTGTTACAAGAATTAATTAGTATTAAATACTGAATTAAAGAGAGTGCTCATATTTTAAGGCCATCAAGAGAATTAACTTTTGTGAGTTTATGTTAATGAAAACGGTTTTACAGAAGCATATACATCGAAGTACGTGGAATTCATTTCTCTATTAGTTAATTTAAAATTTCAACGACTTAATCAATGAAGTATTTAACTAAATTAGTTACAAATTTTCTTATTAACATCTGGCTTTATATTTAAAAAAAAAATAAAATTCCGGAGATGATGTCGTTTTTCGTTATCTTGTAATCCATAATTTTTAGGAATTTATGACGGAAAATTATAACTTCCCGATTTCGCGATAATGACCCCCCCCGAAAAAAAATCTTAAAATTTTGTACCTGTATTCTCCCAGAATATCTGCATATGATTTTAACCCATTTATAAATTCCAGCTATTTGTTTTCATAGATATGAGAAACAAATGAAAGAAATTTCTCATTTCTATTCCCCTTTTTAGAAGGGAAAATCAGTTTTATAATGAAAATGTGGCATTGTTTAAGCTTTGTTGGATATCGCTGGTCAATGATTATATGTTCTCAGTAAAATATAGACGCTTAAAATATGGCAGCAGTTAAAATATTTTCTATTATTTTATCTAACCATGAAAATTCTATTTATGCTAACCATGAAAATTGACATGCCGTGAATTATTGGGTATATTAATATTTTGTTTTAAGTTATCATTAATACTTGTATTCATTTACATTTGAAATTGTAAAATAAATATTACCGTATGCGAAATTACGTTATTAACGTCCTTTACAAAATGTCTAATTTGTTCCCTTAATGCGTGATTTATATTTATTTTAATGTGAATGCATTTTTATTTTTCATGTTAATTCTAGGTTTGTTTGGACGAAGCTACCGACCCTTGGGGTGTGAAAGTTGAAAGAGTTGAAATGTAAGATGTTCTTTATAAATGTATTTAAATAATATGAAAAGCGTATCATTGTTTCGCCATAAATCCCATAATCGTTATCATAAATGAGAGCATTAAATGAAGCTCTGACAAAAATAGTAGCATACTTTATTTGAAATTAAAATGCCAAAATTTGAAGAGGTGCTTTTAATTTGACGTGGTAAATCGCTTCGCCTGTTTGTCAAAGTTAACTAAACTTTTTAATCTATGTTTTGTTACCTTTTCTTTTCATAAATTCCCTAATGCATACATCTAGGTGATGAAAAGAATTATGGTCTAAATAAATTTAATTGTAATAGCATTCTTATGTTATCATGCAGTACGAGTTTTATGTTCTTCTAATCTTGTGAAAGTCGAGCGTTAAAAGCTAAACGTTATTCATCTACCAATGCGCAGTGTCGTGGAAGAAGTCACCAAATAATAGCAATAGTATCCTGTAGCCAATGATAAGCAAAAAATATCCTGTGGACATATAACGAAGAAATATATACTTTTATGAGGCGTTGAAGACCAATACTTGTAACCGAAGAATCATAAAAGTATGCATTTTCCCTTTGCATGTTACATAATGTGTCGCCAAACGACACGGCGACTTGTTACATAATGCTTGTTACAAACGTCCGGAGACTTTTTACATAATGTGCCGCCAAACGCTTATACTGTACTCTGTGGCTGAAGATAAGCAAATAATATCTCACGAATAAACAGCGAAATATAGGACTTTGAAATCTTTGAGAATCACTGCTAAACGAACGCAGAGGCTTCCTACCCCACACAGAAAGTTGTTAATGCAATATACAACGTCTTTTAATCTGCCGAAATTCGTGTAAAAAAGGATCTAGAAATTTAAGAGATGCAGAAGTTTCACGTTTTCACAGAATTCTTAGTCACAAGAGGATGTGGAAGCAGCTAGCTTCCGCATCTTCATGTTGTTGACTTTCAATGTCCCGTAACTCGCAAAAGACGCCTTTTCCGCCGAATATTCATATTAATATATTTTAAGCCGTTTGGTAACACTGAATAATGTACGCCAGCCTGTCAACGACACCTTGCCATTTAGTTATCAAGAATGCTTGGAGTGGTGCGCAACGTGCTTTCGCTATCAAAGCGTTTTACAAGAACAATGACAGTGTGAAAGAGGCACGTAGAGAACTCCGCCGTCATTTTAATTTAGGACGCCACGATCGTGTTCCATCAGCGCATTCGATTACAATATGGATACGTAATTTCAAGCAAACTGGTTCGGCCATGAGAAAGAAACCTCCAGGCCGTGTGCGAACCATTCGTACACCAGACAATATCCAAGCTGTTCGAAATGCTGTCATAAGAAGTCTACGTCGATCAATCCGTCGTCACTTGCTGAAATTCTAGTTGAGATGTTACGTCAAACCATGAACAATGTAACGAAGAGACTGCAGGAATGTTTGCGCAGAGAAGGAGCTCAACTGCAAGATGTCATCTTAAAAAAATAAATTGTATTGTATGTATTCTAAAATAGCATTATTTTTACTATTAAATGAGATAAATATTTTTTTAATAATTTTTTTCCCTGAAATTATTTAATTTTTCAAAATTTCCCGTTTTTTTAATCACTTTGTATTACAATTTTGACGTTTCAAGATGTCCACCTAGCGTTTTGCGCAATCGTTACATTCCTGACAAACAATTTTTAAATACATTTCAGTGTACCTCTTTATTGTCATCCATTAAATATTAAATAACATTACCAAAATTCTGGTAAATTTGTTTAATGTTAAATAAATTTTTTGTAAATTTCTTTAATAAAAATTTTCAGGTAGCCTATATGTTAGCAAGAACATAAAACAATAAAAAATAAAGTTATCGATGAATTTCGTAACTGAAGTGTACAATATATCAAAGGAAATTATTTTATCAAATATTATGACAGCCCGATGTGAGCGTTCTATGTTTCTGTTACAGTATTATTGTAAACAACAAAAAATTCCCATTTGGGGGGTTATTGTACTTACACACGGGACGTCTAACAATTCATTCATTAATGTTTAAAGAAAGGAATTTGACAAATTCATAGGCTGTTAATGTTAGAAATAAATTATGTTAAAGATGAACTTTAATTTATATTAATATTTGTAATTTATACAATAAAACGCAAGTTTGCCTCAAGTACACACTACTTACTGTGTGTTTATTAATATTATATTTTTCTTTGAATATTTTATTGCAAATGTTTTATTTGTTCTTTGTTTTCATGCTGTAAGTTTCTTAGACACCTATGCCAATATTTTTATTCTTGCAAAAACCTTTAATTTGTTTGTTTTATTTTCACATTTAGTAAGGACGTAACACTGCCACAACAGATGCAGAGAGCGATGGCTGCTGAAGCAGAAGCAACCAGGGAAGCCCGAGCTAAGGTATATTAACATTTAGAAGTGTTTTTATCAGGCAAGCAGCGGCATTGTCAAATAATTTCCGTTTTAAAAATTATGTTCATTACTAAAATGTAATTAAATTTCTTTACTAAACTGATACTCTCTCAGGATTCGCCAACTAAATTGATACCCAAACTTTCTCTCAAGATTCGCCAAACTTTAAGAATTATGAAATTAATTACAATCAAATTCTTCGTTTATTTACGTAATATAATGTTAAAACAAGGGCCTCTTGTGCATTTCAAAGTGTCATAATAGTTTAAGTGTTATAATAAATAAGATTTGAATCACATAATTGAGTAAGTTTTTAACTTCTATTATTTTCCTTTCTCATTTTGAATGTACTGTGTGTTTTAAGTTCTTATTTTAAGGCTCAAGTGCGTTTTTTCGCTACTGAATTACGGAGAAGAAAATATAATATGCTCATATGTTCAACATTCACCAGTAGTATATGGTTAATGTCGACATTTACCGGTGTAAGTCAGAAATAAGAGTACTTGGAAAATATTTCGGACAGACACCAAGCGACTATGTGAATGTTGACATTCACCGGTGAATGTCGACATTCTCCAGATTTCGGTGTTTCACCGTAACATATACATGTATATGTAATCTGGATGTTATTTCCGGATTATACACCCAGACATTTGAAGTTAACAGAATTTATGCAAGATGATATTAAACTAAAAAATCTGACTTATGAGAGTTTAATGGAGACTCTGAAAAGGAACGAAATAACATATTTCGAAGTAAATTCACAAATGTTTAATCAAATAATGAATCAGAGAAAAAACCGATTCTTAGTTTTATTATTCTTAGTCTTACGGCATTAGAATAAAAAAGCTGTTAAGATCCTAGTATAATATACGACGGGGGAACGAAATGTATCTTGGCTAAATGTGTAAAATGAATTTAGGCCGTTGAAAAATTTGCTGTATTTTTATTAGAGAAAAGCTCTAAAAAGTTGGCAATGGCCGAAAAAATTTGAAAGAAATGGCTTGCATTCTCTTATAGCGAAAATTCACATGCAGTCAGACCATTCACCGAGTTCCAACTATCTATTTCAGCAAGTTTTCAGCTGTTTTGATAATTTTTTTCATTACACCTTTATCTGTGTTATACATTTAATCCATAGTCAGCGTAGTTATCATCACGTAAAACATGTAGTGTTTTTATCTCACTAATATCATTAGGGTATGAATTATCTTTGTTTAATAAAATGATTTCCACAATTTTCTGCATTCTGACCTAATATTTCCGATGACTAAATATCCATGGGTTCTAGTTAAGCTTTTATTTTATTTTAATATGGATTAACAACCTAATATATATATAGAGAAAGTATAGTAGAAATTTTTTTAAACAAAAGATCTTAAAATTATCCCTGCACAAAATGCTGCTAAAAATAAATGAATTAAAAACTGAAAAAGTAAATAACTTGAACTAACAGCAATAGCCTCTTATGTAGGTATTTCCTTTCGCGATTCTAAAACAATAACCACTCTTCTGGGCTGCGTCATTTGTAGATCATTCTATGTTACATGGCTTGCATAACGCTGATGATGTAGCTAATTCGGAAACTGAACTCAAAATGTCGAGAACTGAAACTTTTCTCTTAATAAGCAACCTAAACCAAAACCTTCTCTTGAGCTTCCATACTGGATAATCGCGCACTTTTAGCTTCTAGCTCTCTTCCTGTTAAGTCGCTCTCTTCTTATCGCAACAGTATCAAAATGTAAATGTTCTTGAATAGGCACGATTAAAGTGCCATGTAAATTGTGGCTGCAAATGTCAATTGAAATAAAGATTAATATTTAATCAGTCTCGACTGCCAAGTTTGCTGTTCATTACGTATTCAACATTCTTTTGTTCTACACCATTGATACTTCTTTTTCATTACATATCTATATAAATAAAGTTATCGATGAATTCGTAAGTGAAGTGTGCAATAGATCAAAGGAAATTATTTTATTAAATATTATCACACCCCAATGTGGGCGGTTTTTATCTCTTCATTCATCATTTTGTGCTTTCGTTGAGAGAATTAATCAGCTTGACAACTTTCCCAATATTCAAAACATTTTTTCGAAAATCTCTAAACAACGTTGTATCGCTAAATATGGTTATATTTTGCAAGTTTTAATTATCTATCTATGAGACATTCGCAGAATTAACAATAAGTGGCTTTATAATGCTAAACACTGTTACCTATTGAATATAGGCTTTTGCACAGGCTTTGTGGCTTTGCATATACTCTCAATTTTATCATATCCGTCAGTTTGAAAAGAGTGTTTTTGTATGCAAATTTTTATGAATAAAAATTATAAATGAACAAAAATAGTTTTGCGTTTACACATTTTTTTTAACTATAAAATATATGGAAACAGACTTTTATTGAACAATTTAACGATAAAAGATTTCTTAATAGTAAGTCAATGAAACACATTTTTGCAAATAGTTCTCATTTTTAATGTGCAGCTTTGATAAACATATTTCTGAAGTCAAGACAAGCGACTTACGTTTGGTTTAGTTGCATAAATTAATATGGTAGTTTATGCCAGTATTTGAAATTTCTTTCGAATTTCTTGAAATGCAGTCTACTGAGCAGCATTTTTACTGTTGCATAGAATTTTTTTCCCTGTTGATGCTGTATTCTCTCGCGAGTTCTATCAACTGAATAAGAAGGTTCATAGCTGTTGAAAGTTTTTAATGTCCTTGCGTTGATTTCTTTTGAATCCAAATATTGCAGGAAATTAGTAAAAATTATCTGGTTCTGAATTTACGTTTTATACATGGTCAGAAATACTTATTCTGAAATTTAAAAAATTAAAAGTAATATTTTTATGCCAGATTTGCCTTTTCTAAATAATTAGGATGTTATCCAGACTACTAGCTGTTTGACGGAAACATTTATTCTGTCGTTCGTTTTATTTCTGCTGTGTTGAGCAATTCTTCCTTGTTGATACGTACTGTACCAATTAGAATTGTTTTTGGGGTAGGGGAGTTATTGCTTTCTTCGCGAATGGCATATTCAAAAATGAAATTATCATTCCACGATTTATACAAGATTTAATAAATTTTCGAACAGCAAATTTGATCAAAGGTATTATAGAGGCATGATTTACTACTTTCCCAAAAATAAGGAGAAAAAAAAAAAAAAAAAAACCAGTTAAGAGATACTTACTTCAGTGTATTTTGGGAGATAGTAATTCCATTAATTAATGTCAACGAAGTGAAACTAACATTAAAGTGCACATGGGCAATTTAAGTTATAAAACTATTTCTTTCATTATTTTGGAACAAAGTGTCGTGCAATGCAATGCCGATTCTAGAACGTCGGCCGCCCATGTGCAAACTTAAACTGGCCACCCATTTTTTCAGAAATGTAATGTGTTTGATAATCATTTCGCCGCCCTTAAATTTGCCTGCCCACGTGATGTGCACAAACTTGTCCCCCCCCCCCGCTAGGATCGACCATGGTGCAATGATATCGTTCCTTGTATCGTTTACTATGGTATTGTGCAGCATAAGAACAAGAATAAAAGCAAATATAAATCTTTTTATGATCAATAATAAATTTTCCTATAAACGAGTAAGAAGACGGTGATTTATATTTTCTTAATCCAAACTCATTTTATAACTGGTTTCATTGATACGTCATTTCTATTGACTTTGGTGTATTTAAGTATGTATTAAGCAAATAATTAATCCTTCAAACGTTTGAAATGAATTAAATAGAGAAATAACCAATTTGTTCCACCTTATTAAAAATCATCACAAATTCCTACAATTATAGCAACATGATGTTGAGGAAAGATCTATAAAACTCATCATTTCGACAGGATCTTAACATTTGTAATGAAATTTTGATTATTTACTGGATCAGCAAGTGGATAAAGTTTTAGGAGCTCTATCAAAACAAAGGTTAATGAGAGGTTGCGATGATGATCCTTTTATTTCTTGGTTGTCCATGTGCTCGATATTTCGTACTCTCAATGGTCCCAGCGCCATAGGCAGTATGTAATATGACTTTAAATCGCAGGCAAGCATTTCAAGCTTAATTAAAAAAGCGTATGTAATATATACCATGCACACTGCTTAGGCATTTTAGAAATGAAACACAATGCTATTTTGCTGTGTTGCGGAGTTTCATAATTATGCTTTTAAAATATAATAAACTTTTTATTAAGGTATGGCGGAAATTATTATTATTCTCTGCCGATGTACAAAAGATGAAGTGCTGAAGTTAGTTTTAATAATTATTTTTAATAATTGAGATATTTATAAAAATTATAATTAGATAAATTTTTAATAATATCAATTTGATATAGCATTATAAAAACAGAAGTACAGAAGTATATAAATTACCATGTAATACGTATATTGCTTTTAAGTTGGTTATTTAAGTAATATGCAGTTTTAATTAATAACCTAAATTAAAGGTCTTATATAATCTGAAATGATACTTCTAAGAATAGGAAATGTCCCAGGCTCCGTGAAAGGTAAATTTTCCAAAGACATAATGTAGCATAGCATCCCGGGAAAGACAAAACTAGCCCATGCGCAATTTTAACTGCAAAAATGTTCTTCGAATAATTTCAGCTGGATAAATTCCAATCTTTTAAGAGAATTAAATTTAACGGCGTACACAGTTACTTTTATCTTATTTACCTAACCGTTATTTCGATAGTTTATTGTTCTAGGTCTGTTAGTCATAGCTAATATTAGTTAAAATGAAAGGATACATACACATCATATTTTTCAGTATTAAACTGTTTAAAATGAGAAATTGAATTTTGCAATATGGATTGACTAATATCAATTATTGTTGTTAAAGGTGATGTAAAATTATCTTATTGTGCTTTGATTTTCGTTTAACAGGTAATTGCAGCAGAGGGCGAGCAGAAAGCTTCCAGAGCCCTCAAAGAAGCGTCTGATATCATATCGGACTCACCTGCAGCTTTACAGTTGAGATACTTGCAGACCTTAAATACAATTGCAGCCGAGAAGAACTCTACAGTTGTGTTTCCCTTACCTATGGAGTTGTTAAGAGGATGGGGAATGAAATAATGCACAGCAAACACAAAATAATTAATTTTAGAGTTTATGTTATTTCATTCTTTTTGTAATTTTTTATAGCGGCGTCAAGTTAAAAAGCGTGTTTAATACTTTCTCCTTTTTATGTAAGATTTTAATTCTTCGTAACTTTTTGCCTAGCCATTAGAAATTTTTATTAAAAAAATCATACTTTGTATCTGAGATCATAAAGTTGATTGATTTGATATAATTTGGCATCTTTCAGATATTAGCATATGTCCCTGAAGTTGCCTTTTACTATGTAAAATCGTAAACTGCTGTTGTATTTGAATGTGATAAATATATGTGACTTTTTTATAAAACATCTGCTCTTAGCCAGAAACACTAACTTGCAGTATCTTAGTTTAGAGAAAAAAAAAATCAGTTTAAAATCTGACTTTTGGAACATGCTATCTAAACAGTCATTTTTTTATACTTCTTTCAGCTTTGGCATAGTGTAAAACATTGAAAAACTGTCTAGAAAATAATATTTAGGTGAAACAACGAAACTAGCAGATTTGTAATATTAGCTTTGAACTGAAGATATATATATATAAATATATATATATGCACATTAATCATTTCTGGAAAAATAACTGCTTTTTGTATCATCATGCTTTTTATCATTGACCAAGGAATATAAATAAACTATTTGTTTTAATAATTTTATGATTCATTTATTAGAATTAAGATTGCTAATTTTCTTTCGTTTATTTTTGAAAGTGTAAAAAAACTGAGGGAATGAACAGCTATATTTTATATTTACGACTTCATATTTATCTATGAAGTAATTTTGAATCAATGGATTGCTTAGTTGGTAATGGTCATATACACCGTGCTCATATCCTTACCCAGACAATAGTTTCGCAACCTTTGGTCGGAAACATTTAACTTTCGGTTAGAAAAATGTTTTCAATGACACAAATATTCATGTTTGGCCATTTTTAATTTACAAAATTCTATTTATAAAGATTTTCGAAATCTGACTTTCTATACTTTCTCCCTGTCCCTGTACGTTTATTTAGAAAAATGTTATACTCATTATAAAAAAATGAAATACTAAAAGCGTGACTTGTATACGAGAAAAATTGTCCGAAACATTTAAATCTAAATTTGAGATAGCTTTGCTTGAAAACTCAGGACCATAGGCAAATTGCAGAGGGTCAAAAATAACTGTTTTTAACAAAGACTTACATATGCCATATTACGTTCTTTAGTATACTACGAACTGCTGATTCTACATCCTCTGAGAATCCAAGATAGAAGCTTTTTTACGTAGAATATTTAAAGGAGTTGGCATTCCCGTGCAAGAGCTACGAAAATTCTTAGGTTAAAATACTTTGTTAATTAAAGAAAAAAATCTGATGTAGACGCCCATATGACTTCCTTGTATGTCTTATTAAATTATACACATTATTCGCTACATTTCATTTAAACTTATTTCTTCGATTTTAATCGGAGATATATTTCTCATTCAATTAATTCAATTCTCAATTCGCGGCAAGGAGATATACATAAAAACTCAAAATATCTTCATTAAAAATTGAAAAAATGGAAGAACATGAAATACCACATACAGTTAAAGCAATTAAAAAACAATTTTTACAGTTAAAATTAGATTTTTTACACAAAAACAAGCAATTTGGCCAGCGGGCAAGAAAGCAGATTTTTCGATGCACAACTATTAAATTGTTGATAATTCTACAACTGTTGCATGCATATTAACTAAAGGCATAAAAACCTTAACCGTAAGATAAGAACAATGTAATTCAATCTTTTTTAAAGTAAAAAAATGCACAATTTACCAGTAAGAATAAAAAAACAGTTAACCGTGCCGAGTAAAAGAGCGGGTATATTTATATACTTTTGGTGCGAGCGATTATAACCAAAACGGGAGGTGCACAATTCCATGTTATGGAAGTCCTATACACAAAATTTCAATGTTCTGAGGCTAGTCGTTTTTGAGTTATACGAGATACATACATACATACGTACGTACAGACGTCTCGAAAAAAATTTCTTTTGAATCCATTTGCAGTCCTTTTTGGGAGAAAGCGTCCTTTATTCTGCCCTTACGCACAGATGTCACTCAGCATCGTTAAATTATCTTCGATAGCGGTCAAAATGGATATTTTCATTGAAATATGATACCCGAAATTTTTCGCGATTGCAATACTACTTCATACAATATATCTCCGTACATTGAAGTAAAAATGTGGTTGTGAGATAACAAATGGTATATTCTATGAATTTAATTTTAAATAATGAAACTAATAAAGCGCTTTTCATCTTTAATGGAACATAGTAACAAAAAATGTCAAAATGTTGGCATTAAATTTTATTTGAAACATTTTTAAATATAAAGAGAAAATCTCTTCAGTAGTTTAATTTTATTAAGATGCTGATGCTTTATCATAATTGTCTTTTATGTTTGATGGTTGTTATTTTAAGAGATGGTCTCTTTCAAACCCTGCCATTTGCTATTGCCATAGCCTAATGGAATATTAAATACTTTATTTCTTTATACCAGAAAGCGTAAGTAAAGTACGATAGCAGAGAAGGCAAATATAAATAGATTTGTTGTTAAAATTGTACTTTTTACAATTGAATGCTGTATGAAAATTTTTTGTTACATTACTTTTTCAAAAACATTAAGGATAGATGTTTCAATTTTTTTAATGTGTTTATCATTATACTTTTGATACAACTGAGCATGAAATTGTATATGTGTGATTATGGCAAAGCCTCGAGGGCTATCTGCCTAAGGGAAGGGACGCCTTCGTGAAGGACTTACTAAGGGAAACTGGCTCGTATACACGTTACACATGTGGAAAACCACGAAAACGCCCATGCAGCCAGCCCGTTCGCGGGATTAGAACCTCGAACCGAACTACCAGTGTTCAGCGAATTTACCGTTCGGCCGCTGGTGGGCCCTGAGCATGAAATTAACAGTATTATTTGTTGATTTTTTTGTGTGTGTGCGTGTGTTTTGAGGTAAAATATTTAAACTACGAACTACAATTTCTCTCATTTTTCACTAGGCAAGACACCAAATATTTTTTATTTAAATCTAATAGTAGAACTATCCAATATTCTACAAACCGTTTTGTGCGGTATATTTCAGGGAATGCACAAAGTTTTATAAAAAAATATTAATATTTAATAATGCAGAAACAAATTTAAAAATAATTTTAAATTTAACGTTAATAATTTACTTTACTTTTTAATGTTTAATAATTTACTTTACTTATATTTGTATTCTTTGTTAAAATATAATTAAAATACACAAGATATAAAAAATAGTATTTTATGTAAATGGAAATTTGTTTTACTTGTTTTGTATTTTGGAAAATTCAACGATTTAAAACATTATATAATTTTTGTTTTGAAATTAGATTTCTGAAAGATTGAATGTATAATTTGAGCATCAGTTTGATAAAACTGCATGAAAGCCAAATTTTCTGTTAAACTAATTAGTTTTGCAAATGAAAAATCTTTAAAATGATTTTTCTTCATGTTCATTTTTTGTTGAAAGACATGTCAGAAAAATGCTAAGGATTTTTTTGGTAATTACGATAGCAATTTTCATTACGGTTTATTACTAAACTGTAACATATTTTATACTAAACAGTGCGTGGAATCAACATTAGTCTTTGTGGTTAATTTAGAAAAAAATATGTAAACACAGAATTAGTCGGACGCTCTCTTTTTTCATAAACATGATATTACAAACATTTAATTAGGTTTAATAACAAAAAAATTCAAAAATTCTATGCACGATTTTGTGTAGTATTTGTACGTCAAGGAATCGGTAATATTATTGCTTCATACAACTATATTTTCACTATAAATTTGTAAATGCAAATTCTTTACAAAACTATGAGTGGGAAAAGCAATTGGTAACTTGATTATTACAGGATAAATTCTAGATTAGAGTGAAGCACTCAAAGGCTGCCTGCCACGAAGAGGAGATGCCTTGAGCATTTTCTAAAGGCTCGTATTCACGTTATGCTTGGCGAAATCTATGAAAACTTCCATGCAGTCGGGCTCGAAGTACCCGTGTTTAGCGATTTTGTTGTTCAGCCGCTAGTGGGCCACACGTTTGGCGAAGGGGGAATCTAAGATTTAATTTCATTAATTTAAAGTTTGTTTAGCACTTCTTGTTATGATAATTTGACGAGTTTATGTCGTTATTAAGTTTTCGCGTGTTAATTATCAAACAAAACATCCACACTGTTAGTGGAATAACTTAAGTTTATTAAATCTAAGAGCGTACTGACACGTTTTGACCAGCCTGTATCATCCCTTAGTATAAAACTATGAACAGTGCATTTCGGCCTATAGCGCGCACTTTTAATACGAAATATAAGATCGAAATTTACGGGTGCTCGTTATGCATCGGATATAAAAATTATAGATTTAAAAATAAGGGAAAAATGTGCACATAAAAATGTACTAAATATTGTTTGTTTAAAAGAACTGACATTAATTATGAACTTAAAAAATTTCTTTATCTGCCTTATCTGATCACATGAAAATTTTGTCATATTCACCTTCCGTTGCAATTTCAGGCTCATCATGCAATTTTGTTTCATATTTAACACTACTATTACTCTGATCCATAAATGAATAATCATCTTCCGTTCCATCTAGATTGTTAGGTATACTAAATTTTTAAGGACTTTTCAATTATATCGGTTTTAATGTCCATCTATGCTTTTATTATCCACTCAGACATCATTTCTAAACTTCCGTAACACATTTGGCCTCCTTTCCCTTGTTTTGTCCTTCTCTGCGTTCGATGTTCATTTCAAAGTTACGGCTTTAACGACTACAAAAAAAAAAAAAAAAAAAAAAAAAAAAAAAGCATCTAACTCCTAAATCCCGGGAATTTCATTCAGATCGAAAGTGTATTCTTACGTTAAATAATGTCCTTTTTTTTTTCTCTAAATCCTAGAATAACATCCTCGGACACATCTGCATTAAATAGAAAGCACCCTCTTTGCAGAATTATTTACTCCTTCATGCATTTCCCCCATACACATATTGTTCACCTTATCGATTGTCAATTCAGTATGCAGTTTTTCGAAAGCCTGGGGAAAATCTTTGAATGAATGACTTCAGACAGTATGAGCATCACTCATGTATCTTTCAAGTTTCTTCACAAAGAAAAGGGCGTTATACGGCGAATATATCTAAAAACTATAAAAATGTAGTTTGAAATTATGGGTGTGCGTTATACCCCGGAATTCACGGTAAGTATTTTTACCTTACGAAATTTCAGTGAGTTAAAAGCTTAATTTAGGAGATAAGTGGTAAATCACCTTAACTTGTTAGAGTATGTATATGTGATCAAAACGAAATCTGAAAGCAAGAAATTTTATCTTATATTTAGGTTAATGTAATATCTTTCCTTTTAATATGACTAGTTTAGAGAAAGTTGAAAAATGAGCTCAATTTTTGGTTGCCTCAAAATATTATTTAAAACGCCCTTGGACTTTTGCTCTCAATCTAAAACATCTTTGCATTTTTTCGGGAAAAAAGAGGGGAAGTGGCCTGCATGCAAGACAATTTCGCATATATGTGCTTGGGTATGATAAAGCGTATCCATTTTCAGAAATTTAATTGAAAACTGGTAATTATCTTGAAATGTAAATTTTTAAGCTGAGCATATAAAATGAATGACTTCTAAAAAAATAGAGCAGAATTTTCTATAAATCTTGCAAGCGATGCATCTAAAGGATGGCTAGTATAATGCTGTGGAAAATTAGCGTTGAAACTCGTTAAAGTGAAAATAAAATTTATGCAATTTCTCTAAGAATTTTTTTCTCCCTATTAAGTGACGGAAGTGAAAGAGACCAGCTTTCCAGAGCTAAAAATGAATCACGTCACCCTGACAGTCTCGTATATGTGACAGAAACCAAAGCTTTGGCCAAACATATTTTGTACCTGTACCATGATAAGCGAAGAAATATGACCTTCGTCGCTCCACGCGCTGCATACTCAAAGCACGCTCAGTCATGTGGTACCGTAATCACGAAAATGGATTGCAACCTAACAGTGGAGGCATCTGAATTCGCCAAATGAGCGCAATCTCACCAATTTAGTCGCCAATGTTTATCTCTTGGAGTTATCGATCTAGAGACGTTCATTATCGAGGTAACAAGATGTAATTGACGTATTGAAACGCAAGAATGTCTTGCCAATGAGTTACGCATATTGCATGTTTCTGTTTCTCCAGAAACTGAAATAAATCGTAAATTACATTTTCTTGGTCTACGCATCCCCCTTCAGAATACATCTGAAGTAGTAAAATAGCATTCAACTTCAAATGTTACTTTCTGAGACCATTTATTAAAAATATTGGGCTTTATTTATAGTAACAATTTTATTTGCCTAAATTTCTTTTTAAAATTTATATATATTCTGATTCTATTTGGATCGTTTATTTATTCATTTGCATTTTACGTAACACGAATGTTCTATTACTTATAAAAGTGCGTGTTCTGCTTTTGATGGGAAAGCTATGTGTGTGCATAATTTTTCATATAACATCAACTAACGCAATTCCAAATGCGAGATAAAGCTTGAAACTTTGCATGTGCATAATGCAATGACTTAGAGTATTTTTGTTGCGTTTTTCATTGGGAAAATGTTTTCTGTTGCATCATGAATTTTGCAACGGAAAAAAATACTGCTATTAAAAACTTTCATGCTTAAGACAAATGAAAAGGAACGTTTAAAGAGTAAATGCGAGAAAAATTCACAGCATTGAACTCGGTTGCAAAGTCTGCAAGTCTTTTTAAAGTTGTCGTTATGACCACTTCTTTTTTAGACATAATAATCATAAGTCTGGTTAGGAAAGAATTCAAAGAAAATTGGCATGAAGGAAAGGAATAATGAATATAGCGGAAAGTATTAGCGTATAACGTGTTAACGCAAGTGTCGGAATCCAGTTTATAATCAGATTTTTATCTGACTTAGGCTATGGAAAGTTTCACAATATGTAAATAATTTCTTCAGAGTCAATGTATGACGTGAATGTGGAAAATTAAATGAAGACAAAGATAATAATCATTATATTTCAGAATCATCTATTGAACTGGCAATAAGAGGAAAGTTTTCAGTAAAATCTAGTAATGATAATAGAACAAACGTAGAGTGTATACAACATAATTTTATTACTGTGTAAAACTGTTCTTGAGATGCATATTCTGATTCACTCAACATAATGGGCGCTATATCCACCCATAGTTTTTGGGAGCTTAGTACATCTTAATACAATGAATGATAGACAGAAATCGGCTGAGTGTTAGCAACACAGAAGCCAGCAAGAAAAGTGGCAGACGCATTTCAAAGAAACGTGGAAGAGTGTCAAAAAGTTTTGTTTTTATCTTATTCACTGATTGACTAGCACGTACCTGCACTGCAGTGTTATGTAATATCGTATGATGCGGATTAATTTGTAACTGAAGCAGTTTACATTAATATATTATAAACTGTTTCTATTTTGGCGATAGAAGGAAAAAATACCCAAATGTAAATGAAGAAAATAAGGGGCGTTTGGCAATTAAAATTTAAAGTTTGCTTTTAATTTTTATTTTAATTAGTTTTAGTTTTTTATTTTAATGAGTAGGAACAATTTAAAATTAAATTAAATAACAAAGACCTTTCTCTTTCTCTGAAAAAATTGTATTATCCTCTTTCCCGATTTGTTGGTCAAGAGGTAAGTCACACGCATTAAAATACCTCAATCTAACGGCTGTTTAAATAAGGGCATTCAACTAAAATAATCGACAATAGGAAGAGAGACCCATGAATGCAATTTAAAAGTAGGCAAACAAATGCAACCTTGGTTTGAAGTAAATTTTAAATAAAACTTTATCGATTTCGAAGGTGATCAGAAACAGATCATTGTTCTTCAGGAGAAAAAATAATTTTGCAAAATGTCAGAACCGACAACCATTTTTATATCGAAAATATCGGGGACCGCAATTTTACTTCCACAGATGGAGTTACATTCAAGTTTTGACCATTGTTTCGGTATGAAAGAAAAGTTTCATTTTTCAAAATGTTTTTGTTTCTGAAGAAGAAAGATCTGTGTTTGATAACCCTCGAAATCGATAGAATTTTATTGAAACGCTGTACCAAACTGTTTTTTGCTTAGCTTTTAAAGCAAACCTTGTCAGTTAAAATCGAAAGCATTGAGCGAATTAAGAAGAAAATATCGCATTAATACCTCCAGGTGTTTGCTGTCAAGAAATAAGTAGATAGCACATTTAGTTAGCGAGTGAAAGATTCGTAATTGGAGTCCTTGCGAGGTCACAGATGATTTTTAATTTTTCTTTCTTCGACAAAATTTATGTATAGTAGTACTGTGTTACTAAAACACGATAGATGATGATTCGTCGCCATTGGATTTTGTCGACAGACTCTCATGTCTCTCCCCAGTAGCCATTTTAAATGGATCGCATTTTCCCGTGTGTGTTCTGGAGGTGTAAGCGGTTAGAATGTCAAGTTAGCAACTGGAAGATCTGTGGTTCGAATCACGGCGAAGGCAAGGTTTGGCGTTCCAAGTTTCCTGCTTCAAAACAAACCTAATTTTATGTACAAAATGGCCAGCCAGAGCTTTTAATTTGAACCTCGTAGAAAACTTGACACCCTTGGAAGAGCTACTGTACGCTGAACTTCTCTTCCTACTGATCTCACTGATTGACCTCACCAATGGCCTAGTAGTTAAGACCGCTGAATGGTGACGTTCGACGTGGATTTGATCCGTGCCCTTTGGAAAAAAGATCCATTACTCTGAACGTATATACAGATGTCACACACACACACACACACACACAAAAAAAAAAAAAATCGCCTGGATGTATTCGGTAGCGGGCAAAATGGATATTTCAGTTGAAATAAATGATACCCGAAATTTTGTATATATGATATATATTAAATATAAATGATTACAATACTTCCTTTAATTCGGTCAAGGATGTGAAAAATAGACAATATATAATGTCTAAAATATATAAAAACATAATTTCAGTATGAAAATACAAGAAATGTATTAGTACTACCCAAAAATGAATTTTGCTACTGATTGAGTAGAGCATTAAATGGAGATTGAAATGTATTTTTAAAACTAATACGATATTCTCAAAAGTTTTCATAAATGTGATAACATAATTTGACAGAAATAATCATAACATTCAACCAGCTATAAAATTAAGAGTATTCGTAATCGAAAAATATTATTTTTGAATAATGTTCTTAGGACTTATTCACCATATTTGTTGCAGGTGAACGCTGTTAATTTGATAGCTCGTTGAATATTATGATCATTCCTCTAAAATTATGCTGATACATTTTTATATTATGCATTAACGAATTACTGCAGCATGAACTTTATTTTAATGCATTAGGAAATCTAAAACAATAACTACTTCTTACTATAGAAATTGCCTTTATAAAATGTTTTTTCGCCTTATTTGTTTTCATCGTGACATAGGTGTATATTTTGGCGAGATATCGTTCTAGTAATATTTCCAGTTCCACCTTGGCGACACATCACTCTACCCATGCTTGCTTAAATGTCACGTGTGTTTGAAATAACTCCCTCGAATTATCATTCATAAGAGAGTTAGCTGAGCGAATGTTACAAATTTGTTGATTAAATTGTCTCCTATGCTCCTGAGAACAAGTGTTCGAATAACATAAAAATGACGGATACAAGTCGATTTATCGAAATAGACCATGAAAGAAAACCAACTACTGGATATGTTATGGGAAGTAAGTGAATTTTTATCAAAAAACCAAATTTTTATAGAAATGTCAATTTTGATAGAAAAGGAAAATTTTATGTATTCAGTAATTTTTCCGTGCAGCTCAAATATTCGTATATTGTAAACTTTTTTCAGTCAGGACCCCTTATCACTGAGATATTTTCGCGACTCCCAGGACCCCATAATATTTACAAAAATTTTGTGGGACGCTATAAACATTGCGCAAATTTGACACACGCGTGAGTGAAACTGTTAATTTTTTCACTTGTACTGTAATATACTATTGCAGTTTTAGGTCGTTAACTTTAATTTCTAATTTTAACAGATAGAACAATGTGAAACTTTAAAAATAAGTAATAGACGAAATGACAGCGTCACGTGCAAAGCAAGGAAAATAAACGTTTATAATATAAAAAGAATGCGTCGAAACATTTTCGTTTTTTTCTTTGTCTGTATTGTCTTATCTTTCTCTATTTTCAGACACACTGTGTAAAAATATTTGGTCATTGTAAAATTATTATAATAAGTTATAGAAATATCAAAACTTCTAAAACTTTCGGCGACCCCCAGTGTAAGAAACCCTGAACTACAAAATATTTTTCTCTGAAAATTTAGAATTATGGCTCTCTAAATGTAACACCGTATATTACCATTAAGACTGCAAATTTTCAATGTAGATTTATGTGTATGTGTCGTTACCGTACTAAAAATTATTCAGAAATAATTAAGGTTTACTGAAAGAATTACGGGGCATGTTTTAAAACTATTAACTCGATCGTCATTGTTGGAGCTCAGCCGGGGTCCACTTGTCAGTTTTTGCTCAATCAGAATTCTCACTGGAGCCCTATATAAGATGAGATTCGAGAATTTTTTAAAACTGAACTCAATTTCAAAGGAAAATTCTTCTAATGTGGTAACGTTTCATTTTAACAAGAATTATGACTGAGAATGCTCTGTATACCTAGGAAACCAACATCAGTAGAAGTATAGACAGTTAAGAAAAGAAAAAGCTACTCTCACTCACATGTTGCCGCTCAATGTCCGGTAAAAGAAGTAGACTATTTTCTTTTTCGGCTCAACTTCCGCCGAATGAAAGTGGACATCGCCAAAATGTAAATAAAAGCGCATTAAATTTATAAGAACTTGGTTGGGAATGGGAAACTGCCATTGTATCTAGTGTTTCATTGTATTCGGCGGTTGCAATTAGTTATCCTCACAGGATAGAAAATTTATATCGCTTCAAATGACAGCGAGCATAGTGCAGTGAAATAATGAGATAAACTGTTCAAACTGACGTATCACTTATACGGAATCTCACATACTATGTTGATAGCCAGGAGTAGCACTCTTTAAATTTTTTTTTTTCCTTCCCCGCCCCCGATCATGGAGGTAGGAATTAAGAATTACCTCCATCCCCCCGATGCACATTTACTTTGATGGCTATAATTGTACCAGCAGGGACTCTCTGACCCCGGTCCTTGCTCGTTTCCGTTCAGAATTTCTTTCTCATACTGTTTCTCACCTTCTCTCTATTCTGATCAGCGATACTCTAATCATATTTCATTTCTTATACTGTTAAAATAAAGTTCCTCCCTACAATCCTTTGAAATAGTACACTATACTGTATATTACAGAAAATGCATTTTTTCCTCTCTCATACTTTTTTTTTAGGGTCAGATTAATTCGTCCAAATTCGTTACGCTCCGTACGTGCGATACGATATGCAACATATTTTGCATGGCCTTATTTATTACTACACTATATAATATAGTGCAGCTTACAACATGGTTTATTACAATTGTCTCAAATTGGCAGCTCACGAGCCACACACAGCCCCCAAAAGCAATTTTATGTGACCCACGAATACATTTCATTTATTTACTTTTTGCAAAATATCAAGATTTTTGTTATTTTCGTTCAAGTCCGAGTTTTTGTCAGCGAATATTTTGCCATAACCTTTAGATATGTTTACGTAAAAAAATTGTTATAATCGTTCAAACAGGAACAGCACCATCATAAAATTTTAGGTGCAGAATGCGTAGGGAAAAGAAAAGGGTAATTTGAGTAAAATAACATATTTTTGGGGAGGTAGGGGAGTATTTTTGGATTATTTGGACTTCTCGTTCAAGCATTCGGTTGAATTGCCGTGTTTTGGCCTATTTTCCGGTATACATGCGACAATGATCAACCCATGTATGCATGTACTACAGATGTGTTTAAATATCCGTGGATTTATACGCTTTACATTTTATCGTCATTCCGCTGAATAGTTGTCATCGATTGTAAAAATGTAAATATTTGCCACAGATTTTTGTAGCCCCCTCATAAAATTTTATTGTTTCTTAAAAAGTGGTCCACAAGCCATAAATGTAGCCAAGCAACTTTTTCCCCGTCAGTTCACAAAATCGTCAGCTCCATGGTGACGTTTATCAGGGTGCAGATAATGAAAAAACGCGTTTTAAATTGCCTAAACTAGACTTTTTGAACGAAAATGAATATTTGAATTTTTAAATATGAAAAAATAGATAATATTCTTGTTAATATTTTCGTACTTTCACATGAGAGTCACGAGTACTTTCTAAAAGTAATAAGTTAGACAAAAATGTATATTAGCTTACTTGTAGAGATAAAACATTCAAGAGAAAATGGTCAAGTTACGTAGATCATTACCTGATTTTCATGTACAACTTCAATATTATGAAGCCCTTTTGTTTGGAACGTGCCTTATGAAGGCGTGCTACCCTTGGCAAATAAATTCTTCTTTTTTGATACTTTGAATTAATAAGTCATCTTAATTTTTATTATTTTTCATTGCAAACTTGGACATAATTTATTCTGCCTGACTTTAGATGCCTTCGTGGAGTAAGAACATAAAGAAAAAAACTTTTCTTTTATGTAGTAGAGTTATCGGTTTCTTATGAATCAAAATAATCATTACCAAGGCACATGCTGAAAGGTTCGGAATTCCTTGCGCTTTGAATTTATGTCTGCTAATTATTGTAGGAGTTTTAGCTTGAAGCTGTGTACAAAGTCATAAACCTTATCTGTCTGGGATAATTCGTAATTAATTGGATTATATAGGCATTGCTTATTGTAATTTCCATAAGGCTGTCATCTTCTGTTCAGAATCGTGCCGATCCATTTTCTGTAGTCTGCCATCAATTCTCTTTTTTCCCGAGAAGTCAGTTTTTGAAGAAGCAAACTGACGCTTTATCAGTTAAAACGGCTTCAACTCTTAAATGAAGAGGGCTTTACCGTTTTCATTGGCTTAATTTTCCATTTCGCGTTTTAAATAGGCATATATAAAAATATTAACAGGCAAATTTAGAAAAAGACATGTAATTGAACACAGAATCGCATTTTACGTTTGTGCAGTATTCTAAAAATTATTTCGCAACAATCGGGACTTATTCATCAGAGAGTGTTAAGTGTAACGAGCCAGCGGGCATTTATCACATGACGTTTTCTGCCTCAACAATAACATATTTAAATAAGGGATGAAACGGGAAAGATTCTATCAGTAGAAATTACTGATGAGAAGGATGGAGCAGCGAGTAAATCTGCTCGACTTTGACCACAAGATGAAACGGAAAAGGACGAGTCTGGAGGGACCAGAACACGCACATCCAACCATTTAGATGACTTTTCTTTCAACTGTACAGGTTTTCCATTATTGTTTTGCCAGATCTACATCTCTACATATGTAATAATGTACATATGTTAATTATTACATTGTAATGTAATAATTATGTGTAATAATAATGTAATGCAAGAATATATTTATATTTAGAATAGAGTTTACTTATTAATTAAGAAGTCAAACAACAAAAGTCAGCGTTATATTTTCAAATTATACTTATGCGTTATACTTATGTTTACTAGGCTCCTTTCAATCTGATCACTTGACACAGTTAATTAGGTGAATTTGTTGGCAATATAAAAAAGTCTGCATCGTATATACTCTAGATGTACATAGCAAGATTGGAAATATTTGACTTTGAAAAGTAAGGTTTTCATTGGCAATCTTCAAATTTAACGCTTTATTATTGTTTAGTAAAAGTTTTCTGTTCGATACAACAGTTTTATAAGAAAAAATTCGGATTTTAATAAATCTGTCATCACCTGACTCTAGTTAAAACACTATATACCACGGGAAGTTCATGTTCTTTAAAATTTGATCAATTTTTGCTTAAATTAAGTACCGCTTTGTATAGTTTGTGATTACGTCTTCGAGAGAAATGTATTAATATGTTTTAAAACGATCCACATTCCTCACTTGAGAAAGGCTGCATCAGGTGCTCTCGACCGGGGGAGGGATTTCATAGTTTCAGGGAGGAATTCGGTCAGTCTTTTAGTTAGCTGTTAAGTAGTTTTAGTTTATGATCATAAAAAAACTACTTTTAACTCAAGTTTTGGTGTTTATCAGCATTTCCTAGTCTTCTCTATTCTTTAATTTATAAAAAATTATCTAAATCTAGAAAAAAAATTTTAACTAGAACTAGATAGAAAACTATCTAATTGAAAAATCATCTAAATTTAGATAAATGTATGTATTTATTCTACGAGTTTGGGGAAAAGAGTGGAGGAATGATCTTCTAGCAATGGTGAAAGGAGTGCTTGGGGTAAAAAAGGTTTGAGAACCCATAGGGTATATGAAGTTCGGATCGTTTTCTTTCAGTTCTTTTCATGTATAGAAGTATGAAAATAAAGGTTAATTAAAAGAAATCTGTATGTACTCATTACATTACCAAGTATGGGATTCTGAAAAAATAAATCATTTATTCTTCGTAAGTGCATTTTTTTTTTTTTTTTTTTTTTTTTTTTTTATAAAAAAAAAAAAAAAATATTTCTTTGACGGAACATGTAAATTTCGAACTCGCATTCTCTCCCCCTCCCCATAAAATTCAGTATATTTATTTATGTTCTCATTGTTTTTTTTTTTTTTTTCCCATGGAATTTATCAGATACAAGTAATTTTGATTAGTCTCATTTGTATGTGAACAGCAT